GACCCACAGCGCCCCTAGAGGACAGAGTGGAACTGCAACACAGGGTCTCCAAGGCTGTCAGTCTTCACAGAAGCAAAGCCCAAACCACACCCACTGCCGTGGAATCCATTCTGACCCACAGCGTCCCTTGAGGACAGAGTGGAACTGCACCACAGGGTTTCCTAGGCTGTCAATCTTTATGGAAGGGCATTGCTACATCTTTTTCACACAGAGTGGCTGGTGGATTTGAACCACTGACTTTTAGTTTAACAGCTTAACTGATGTGCCGCCAGGGCCCTGTTCTTTTGCTACAGTTGTAATTAATGATCAGACCGTATAATCAGGATTTTTTCATAGCATTTTGGGGCCAGACGGAAGAAATGACAAAAGACACAGCTTGTTGTCAGTGCAGTGTTTTGAAAAGCAGTAGCGGGGTAGACCAGTTGGTAGTTGGGTTTCAGTCCCACCTCTGACATCTCTTTGCCTCGGCAAACATTACTGTGCACCCAGGTTATCTGCACGCCCAGTGACACACTTCCCCAGCAAACACATCAAATTATACTCAGAATGCTTTCTGGTTAAACAATTAACTTGCTCTAATTCTTTGAAAACTAGTGATCCACATAAGGCATGATTTGCAGAATTTTCAGAATATACTTTCCTTGATCTACAAAGACAGAGCAGATTTCGGGAAGTCAAGAAAATTAATCTATGAGAGGATTTCCAGAGAGAATGTGAACATATTGTTTCCACCACCATCTTCATAGACTCTCAAAAAGTCATGTAGGTATGGGTTCTGTTGCACTTAAAAAGTGTTGTTTTTCTGGGGAAATCTAAGTGTTATCTTACATAAAGCTGGAATGTATTTATATTGTAGAGAAAGATGTTCTCTTCGGCTCACCACCTCAAGAAACACAGGCCTGCAAATGGCGCTTAGAACAAGAGCGAGCTCTGAAGTGGATGACTGTGCAGATAAGAAGGTCCCCATGCAAAACCAGGCCCAGGCATGCAGTGTTTGCATGATCCTCTCATAGGGTTTAGAAAACATGAAGGCAGGAGGACCCTCTTGGCTAACAACTTGTCTTAATCAACATGAGGAAAGTAGCAACTAGAGGAGCCCTGGTGGTGCAGTGGGTGAGCAATCAACTGCTAACCGAGAGGTTGACGGTTCACATCTACCTAGTGGCTCGTGGGAGAAAGACCTCAGATCCGCTCCCCTAAAGATGACAGGTTAGGAAACTCCATGGTGCAGTTCCACTCTGTCCTCTAGGGGCGCTGTGGGTTGGAATCGGCAGTGGGTGTGGTTGGGGCTTTGCTTCTGTAAAGATTCACAGCCTTGCAGAACCTGTGTTGCAGTTCCACTCTGTCCTCTAGGGGCGCTGTGGGTCAGAATGGACTCCAGGGCAGTGGGTGTGGT